AGATTATCAGTCTGGGTTGGTTGACGTTTGCCCCTGTGTTACCAGAGAATCCTGAGCATTTTGATCACCATGAGAAGTTTCAGGCTGTGGTTTCGACACGCTTTTCTGGCGATTGAAATCCGCTGGGAGGAAAATGAAGAAGTTTGTCGATGTTGATTTTAGCTCGGTGACGGCTAAAAAGATTCGCCAGATTCGCAAGCCTGGCTCACCAGATTTGGTTAGCCTCTTCAATGAACCACGTAGGTTTCTTGGGTAATCCACTTTCCTACATTTTCCTGCTGGCTTAAATTAACATTCTCATTGTGCTGCTTCTCAAATTGAGTCTGGTTTTTACTACGCGCAACTCCTCAATACACAGCGGTTGTGCCAAATGTCAGCTCTCTTTGAAGGGAATGTCTAGCAAGGCAGCAACCTTTTCAGAAGGGAAATGACTAGCAAGACAGACGATACCGTATATTGAAATCACCGAACAAAAGGTCTACGGGGAACGTCCTCCAAGCAACGTTTATACTTCGCGAACCAGTCGCGCGATATAGGGCGACTGTGACCGATCGCGCTCTGCTGCTAATCGTTAAGCCGCTATAACGCTCGACAGGAATCCTACTTCCGAATGCGACCAAAATGGCAGTTGCAGTAGTCTAACGATGAGCGAAGAAGCGCGTTTCGTCGTTGGATCGCTCGAGTCGGGGTCTAAGCCGCTGTGGGGATGTTCGCGCTGTACGATTCTATTATATTTTGAGGAGTTTTGTATTCATCTTCAGTACGGTTCTGACGTCCACTTAATATATTCGGCTGCGTGTGACTTTCCATAACATGTCATTTGTCAATAAAATCGGAATAAGCGCCCTGAAATCTCACCAGGTCTCATGAACGAGGCACTTGACGCGCTCCTAGCGAACTGTAGTTTATAGCCCTTAAAATACGGTAATTCTCAGACTCTCGAAGCCAGTAATGAGATTCTGTCAGGAAATCAGTTTAACTTATATCTGTTTTTGTCCAGATCTTAAATGATATATAAATATGTAGAGCAATTCATTCTTGAAAATTTCAGCCAAAGAAACACAACACACGGACTTGCATTGCGGTGATTATCATCTGGTTGGCGCGGATATTCGTCAGTGGGCTGAGTTCAAAGCCAAGCTGGATTCCGTCGGTATTGATACCACCCTTCCTACATTCTTCTTAGCAGAGTGAGTATGCTTATTTATTTTTTCAGATTGGGACAGGGGTGGGGGAGGCACTTGGCAGCTTGAGCGGTGAGAGTGGGTACGCCTGGCAGAGCATCTATGTCCCTTACTCTAACCAAGGCATAGTGGTGGTGGGACCCTGTCTCTTGTGCAAAAGTGTCCCTCGGCCACCTCCATCGATAGGGGAAGGGGCGGTCGAGTGCGAGCTTTATTGGCCATACCTCATAGCCGTGTGGGAGAGGTCCACTTGTGTCTCTGTTCTAATCAAAAACAGCTGGGTATAACTTGCTTTTTTAGATGTGTCCTTGTATACATGTCTGTGGATCAGAGTGCGCAGCTTCTTAGAAATCTCTCAGATACTTTTGACACTGCAGTCTTCCTTAATTATGAACAGGTACGTGGAATATGCAGTACCTCCTCATTTAGTTTACGAGATCACTTAGGGCGTTCATACTTTGCGAGTGAGGAGATTCTGAGGTTTGGGAGATTCGGCGTTTCGAGCGAATGCGTCAAGTGAGCATATGGGTATTGATTGGCGCCGGTTTCTAGCGACTGAGAAGATTCCGCGATCTGACGGATCTCAGTCTTCGGAATCGCCGGATTGATACCTATACTGTTCTCGTCGCACAGTCTCTCAAATCGCCAATTCTCCTCAGTCGCAAAGTATGAACGTGGCTTTAGCTGACCTATTTTGTACCTTCGTGATGTTCCTACAGGTGCGCATAAAAGACACCTTCGGAAGTGTGATGGAAAAGAATCTGGAGCAAAGAGGAATCCAACTACCAGGGCTGCCTGCATGCAATGATATTGAGACTCAAAAAGAAAGGTGCAGTCTGTCTGAGCTCTTCAGAAAGTTTTATAGCGTTGCCTATATTTCCACCGTGCAGATTCTTGAGTAATGGCTGGAAGGATGTGGTTGTCATTGACATGAATACAGTTTATAAAAAACTATTGCGTCAAGAAGAAGTATCCAGGTAGTACATCTAGATATGGATTAGTTCTCGCCCACATAATGTGTCCCTGTGCTCACTTCAGAATCGAAAAAATAGAACATCTGGACGAAATGGAATTGCTGCGGCAACTACTCGATCATTACTGCATTGGCTACGCTGTAAATGATAAGTCTGAAAAGTTCGTCAGCCGGCTGGTTTTCCCGGAACTGTGAATAAATACCTCATTTAGTAGTCTTTCTCCTCTTTCCGAGATTCTCTAGTGCATTGATATTGATGAACATGCCATTCAAGAATGTTTTATTCATCTACAGAGGTTTTTAATAGTCCATAATGATACTTCCGCGCTAACTGCTTATTAAGGGAGTCATGTTGTATATGTTTACAGGTATCTATATATTTGATTAAGTAACAGGTGTTTTATGTTTTGCACTAGTTTTTGCCTAACTGTTTGAAATAAAAGATTTTATGTTGTCCTTGTTTTTCATAATGCTTGACAGCCGTGAGATCGGCTTCCTATATTTATTTTGGGTGTAAAGGTCTAACATAGCGTGGTTCTGGGTAAATCTAATTTGGTTCTAGGTGTAGATAGCTGAGGAAATGTCACTTTCTCAATGGAAACTGGATTATTCTGTTTCGTCTCGGAATTGCAGGACGTCGGAGAATGTGTATAACCCACCAGGCTTTCATACGGGAGCTACTTCAGCTCAGCATCATGTCGGTCACATCGTTTAACTTGTTTTTTCGAAGATCTGGTTTGGAATAAAGGGCTTATGTAATTGCAGGTGGATAGCGATCAAGCGTCTGAACAGCAAGAACATTTGGCGAAGAAAAGGGCTTGGGACGTGGCTATGGCTCCAGCTAAAAGTCTTCCAATGAATATGTTCATGATGTATATGGCAGGACGAAGTGTGAGTGCTTAGTTACAGCAGGAATTCTGAGTTATTGGCACAAGTGTTGACCCCAAGCGGGGCTCGAGTCCATACCTTACACTTTCTAGGCGAGTGCGCTGTCCGTTGCGCCACCAGAGTAGCTCTTACCATGCTTACCATTTTCATAGGTCGAAGTGGCCATTTGTAATGAGATGTAGCTCACTAGACGTGGTTTTGGACGCTGATCTCGAATCTGCCTTTGAAATTTGCAAAGCGATTCTCTGAACGGAATAGCCGGGAAGAACCCTTACATTCAACGGCGGCATGTAGTGATAATGGTCTTGCTTCGCGGGTATGCCATGAAGGGAACTTTCTGGAAGGGAACTTCTTTTGCATTTTGTGGGGAATGTCTCTTTTAAGTCTAGAAAACACTCAAACGCCAAATGGGTGCCATATTCGTGTTCAGGGAGCAAAACTACCCTTGGGACAGGTTTCTAGCCAGATGTGAGGTTTTGACCTAACTTTGAAAAGTGCGGTAGCAGTTGATCGAATGATGGTCACCAATAGTTCCAGGGGGTCAGTTGCTTGTCTTTGGACGGAATTTGCTTTTAGATACCAGGAAAACTGGAGCAGTAACAACATGAATGCGTAAGAAGTGGCAAGACGAGGCTTTGTGCAGGAGAATGTATCTGCAGCTGAATAGGTGTGAACATCAACTGAACTAACCCATGGATGCTTCACTTTTCGAAGTCAGGTCAAAATGCCAGATTTGGCTAGAAACCTCTACCTAGGCGTAGTTCGCCCCATAAATACGAATATGGCACTCGCTCAGCGCGAAAACGCCTGCACTGCGCGCCAAGGGCACCTGTACATCCTCCTAGATCATAAGGCACTAAGCGCGCCAGTAAGCGAACGCAAACTGTTTTTCAGGCAAGTCAAGGAGAGCGCTAATGTAGAAGCGACGCCACAACCACTTTTTGCCACGTTTGCGCTGGAAGCAAAAAAGTTAAGCTCAGCAGGGATCCGATCCCATGACCTGTTGCGTGGTAAACGCGGAGGGAAAAGCTCCATAACTCCGTTCAGAGAATCGCTTTGCAAATTTTGAAGGCAGATTCGAGATCAGCGTCCAAAACCACGTCTAGTGAGCTACATCTCATTACAAATGGCCACTTCGACCTGACGACCTTCCCTAGTAAGATTGACCTGAAGAGTCTGCTTCTCGGGAAAGTGTCTGGAGAATCGGCGACAAAGATTTCTAAACCTCCTGCATGCAATTCGCGTTTACTGGAAACAATAGTAAACAGAACATTGACACTATGTGATCCTTTGCCGCCAGGTCTCAACAAGCGCGCATTCTTTCGGATCGCGGACTATTCTAAGTTGTGGGCCTTCGGCATTCAGAAGGTATGAACGTAACCTTATGAGCTGGGAATTTTTTCCAAGCACTGCTCAAATGTGGTGTCTGCTGCCATAGTCTGACAAGTTGGCAATGTGTGAATTGCAGAATGTTTGCTATGCTGTGGGAGCTTAATGAGGGTCAAATACCGGATGGGCTGCCGTACGGAGCAACCAAATTTTCGCTCTTAGCGTGTCTCTCCAATTGGTACCGAACTTGTCTGGGCAGCTAAGAATACTAGCTTATCTATCGGGTAGCAAGCGAACCTCATAGTATTACCCATATCACATTCATGGTGCCACTTGGAAT